GCGTCGGTAGAAATTTAGCATTCCTAAAAAGCGACGTAGTTCTTTAACTGTCTTAGGCTTAGGAAAAGACTAAATAACTCTGACTCGCTTTGGAAGTGGTTTGCTTCCCTTGGAGGAAATTAGGTATCCCAACTATTCTATTTCTGGTACACCAAAAAGACATTTTGACGGGTTCAGTACAAAACCAAAGTTTTGCAGCCGTGAAAAGACAATACTGAAATGTTCTAAATGCTCTTCTTCATTTCTAGGTAAAAACTAAACCTTGAAGGATAATATTCATAAATATTTGAAATGTTTGAGCGGCATTACAAAGGCCAAACGTCATAAAAGGAATTATTAAAATAATCCAAATGGAGTGATTACGGCTGTTTTCGGAATGTCAGGTTCAGCAACTGGAATCTGATGATAAGCTCCAACCGGGTCTAGTTTATTGAATGTTTAACAACCAACCAATATATTAGAAAAATCCTGAATATGAGAAATGGGATATTTATCAGGAACTGTTTGAGAGTTAAGTTTTCTGTAGTTTTCGCACGGTCTCCAACTTCCTAGCCAAGACTTCGGAACCATGTGAATAGGGCTCGCCCAAAAGCTGCTTGAAATGCGACAAATTTTTTGCTCAAGCATGTTGGCAGTTTGGCAATGCGGAGTTTCTTCGGAGACAAACGTCTAGATCTTTGGGCAATAGGAGGACCTTTAGTGACAATATAAAGCATAACTGTGTGATTGCTTACAGGAGCAATAGGAGTGCCTCTTATGATTTCAGGAAACTTTGCCAAAAGGTCATGAAATTTCAAAGTTTCGTTATTTGAACTCATGGTTTTATGTTTCCATTTTGAAGATTTAGTCATAGAAAACAGAAGAGTTGTGGAATCTATTAGTTTACGTTACTGTAACTCGACGAGCAAATCGTGGTGTTTTAAGTAGCACGTGTCACATCAGCAACTATGAATTGCCATTTAAAAGGGCGTCGAAATAATAAATTTAAGCTTAGTAGTCTATAGCCAAATGTATTAATGATGGATCCATTTGCTTCATATAGATTGAAGGATGTTAGTTTTCTTGTTTTAGCCAATCCGGATCTAGAAATAGCAAAAACGTCTGCACCAGTATCGATAAGAAACTGCATACCATAATTTATATCAGTAACAAATAGACAGTTTTTAATAATAGATTTGTCACTTTCCGTCATCTTTCTTGTTAATGGGCTACCTAATTTTCCAATTGCGAAAAGTTGAAGATTGGAAATTGCAGGGCTTATCATATTTACGAGCTTTCTGTTCAAAAACGCTGATGATAGAAACAAAAGTTTGAATTGGTTGCCCTATTTCTAGATCGTTACACGAAACGACTCCTAAAATTGCTTTGACATTTGCTATAAGAAATGTCTAGCTGAAGTTACTCTAATGCTTGTGTTAGATCTTAAATCTTATTTTCAAGTCTTCTGCAGTGATTGTTTGATAAAGAAGGAGCGGAGTTGGAGTGGGAAATGGCCTCAACTGTATTTTGAAAGGGATTCATATCACTTATTTCCAAAATTTTATTTTTTTGCAAATCAAGAGCATCACTTGCAGATAGAACTATTTAGACACTAGAAGGAAGTCTTTGTAACCAGAGGGTACTTAATAACTCTTCACTAATTCGATTCGTTGCTAAATTATTCATCTGGCGATGCATCTGCGAAGGTTTTCTATACCCGAGTTCAATATCCGTGAGCAAGTTTCGTATCTGTTTTGTTTTTGATTCAGTAAAATTATTAATTAAATGTCGTTTGGGTGTTTCGTACTTATCTTTCTCCGGTTGCCTTAGGATAAGATCGCATACGTGTTGTAGGTTTGTCGTGTCTAACGAGAAAATAACTGTAAAATATTTTGTTGAATCCGACCGTACTTTGCATAACTCAAAATAAGCATCTTCTTGTGCGAACAAAAATTTTGGGTTGCCTATCCAAAATGGTGGTAGTTTAACCACTCTAGTTTCGTTAATACTATCTCCTCTTGAGGTGAAATTTTTTTGCGTTGGTGATACGTTTGTCTGTTTCGAGGTCACCAAATATGCAGTACTATCGCAATAAAGTTACAGACCTTTAAAATAAACTTATTTTTTAGATAATAATGACAACCATAAAAAAATATGACAATTATTAATGCTTTTTTTGTATCAAACTATCTGGTGATATATAGGGTAATACACTACAAAGGTATACATTTTTACTAAGTCTAATAAACAGTAACTAGAATGGAGATATATAATCCTTGCAAGGGCGTAGTCAACATCAATATTTTTTTAACCGTTATATTAAACAAAAATAGAAACATAAAATAAATACAATAAAACAAAGAGTTTCTCAAACATTGTCATCTAAAATAATAATATTCCTGCAAATTCAAAATTAAAATTTATATACAGGGTCCCATTAGTTCGTAAATGTTCAATATTTCAATTTGTGTTATTGACAAGCAAACAAGATTTAATAAAAGTTATATGGATTTGAATAATACATATTTTAAAAATATTTTTGGATATACAGGGTGTTGCGTTTTTGCCTGACAAATAAAAATCTATGTTTTTTTAAATAGAACACCCTATATTTTATTTTATTTTTAAAATGACTTGGGAATACTGTATTTAACCCTAGAATGTTTTTAAAAAATATTACCATGTTGCCAAATAATTTTTTGTTTTTAAATTAGAGTATGATGCAGACCCCAAATTAAATTATCATAATTTAGGTAGGTTTACATTAATTTCAAAATTGTTTAATATGCAGACTAACGAATAGAGGTGATAGAACTTGTTTATTCTATACAGAGTGTTTTGAAACGTCTTAAATATGGCTAATTTTAAGTTCAATTTACTCAATTTTTTCAAATGCAGCACACTATATATTATCTTGGCATAAAATTCCCTATAAATTTGCCCATGTAACAATACCAATGTTTTAGTCAATAACACATATACAGGGTGTCCTATCAGTGCATAATTGATCGATAGCTATTTTATTATTAGAAATACGAAGAAATGTTTAATATAAAAGTTATATGACCATATTTAACAAATATTCCTAAATATACAGAGTGGTTCATAAACGAGGTGCTGACCAAATCTATACTTTTTTAAAGCAAAACACTCTGCAGGTAGTAATACATATTTGGTTGTTTTTACATCGTCAAACAATTTTAATTGACTTCGTTCATTTGCTATGTTATATGTCTCAAAACGTGAGGTTACGATTATCTCAATTTTTTAAAAGGAATACCCTGTATTAATTGGTGGTATGATACATAAGGTATTCCTTTAAAAAAAATGAGAAAATCGTTATCCTTCATTTTGAAACACCCTATATACAACAGCAAATAAAATAAAAGTCTATGAAAGTTGTTTGACGATGTGAAAACAAATATAAAAATGTATAAGTTTGGTCAGCCCTTCGTTTATGGATCACCCTCTATATTTAAGAATATTTATTAAACATGGTCATACAACTTTATATTAATTTGTTTTTCCTATTTTCAATAATAAAACAGCTATCGATCAATTACGCACTATTGGGACATGTTGGTATCGTTGGATAGGTAAATTTATAGGAAATTTTATGCGAAGATAATATACAGTGTGTTGCATTTGACAAAATTGAGTAAGTTGAACTTAAAATTAGCCATATTTAAGACACATTTCAAAACACTCTGTATAAAATAAATCAGTTCTATTACCTCGGCAATGGAAAAGTCTACAAAGATCAACCAGAAGTTCCTTTTTTGTGACAAATGACGTAAGAAATATTTATTAATCTTAAGATTTATGAAATGAAAAAGTTGTGAATAATATGGTTTCTTTATCCCTTCATTCTACGCCAATGGGTTATGGTAATTTATCGAAATAATGTGTTAACTAATAATAACGATTACCTTTCATAAGTATACATATTTTTAAGTTAAAGTCTTTACTGTAAGGGAAGATATTTAGAAAATGTGTATTTATGAAATACACTTTATCACCCTGTAGTTTTAAAACTGGAATGTTAATAGGAAAATTATATTTAACTTTTCTTTAAAATTGATTAAGATCTATAAATCCCCAAAATTACGGTACTTTATTCTGAAACACCCTGTATAGATATATAAAAAAATAAAAACTTCTTCATAAAACTCATTATTTTTTCTGAAAATACACATATGAACTCTAGACGTTGCATTGGTACCATATTCTTAGATAACACGCTGCGCATTCACCAATAATGTGAATAGTGTTACCCCCCCCCCCCCAGAAACCAAGAAAACAACCTAGCTACGCGCTTGAATGTTTGGCATTCTGTATTATACTCTTCATAATTTAACAGACCCTCCTGAACCCCCCCCCCCTTATAAAGCTTGATTTTTCCTGTAGATTTCAATTTTTATTTTTGAGTTTTTTCAATATTTCAACCACCCTTATCCCCCAATTTTTATTCAGATTTTTTTCAGAATTTTCATTCCTTCATAAAGCTTGATTTTTATTAAAAATTTCATGTTGAAATGCTTTCGGTGTTTGATTTTATTATTATTTTTTTAATTTCAATCCCTCTTAAACCCCTCTTTTTCAATCACATTTTTTCAAAATCAAAGAAATTTTCCCCTTATAGAGCTTGATTTTTGCTAAAAATTTGATGTTGATATCTTTTCTCTTTTTTGATTTGTTTTTTTTTTTTAATTTCAACCCCCCTTAACCCCCCATTTTTATTTAGATTTTTTTTAAATCAGTAGGCTTCGTCCCTCATAGAGCCTGATTTTTACTAAAATCTTCAAATTGACATCGTCTTATGTGTTTGACTTACCGTGCGGACAAAAAACGGTCACGGACGGAACCAAATACTCTTCACAGACTACTGTGTGAAAATAATAAATACTTTTAACTCAATAAAATCCATTGAAACAATGCCACATAATGAAATTTAGAATAAACAAGACATCAATAGTTTGGACGCCAAAGTAGTGTTCTATTATTTATCGTAAATTGCTTACCTTCCTGCTATGTACACGTAATCAGGACAACAATGTCTTCGCGTACAGTCCACCCATGTACCATTGTCATTGCATTTGTACCTTGTTGTTATCACATTTGTTGATGGGCAGGTTAACGTGTCGGTACTGGAATCAAACAGAATTTGTAATATACCAGGGATGTTCATTATTAATTCTCATTTAAATTACGTCACGGTTGATTTGTTAAACGTTTAACATAATATACTATTTTTATACTTGACATTTTTTAACAGATAAATTAAACGTTTTTATATAGATACTAGTTATTGTACATTGAACTACGTTTGAATATAATTTATCTTATACGCATATTTCCAGTTTGCGATGACATTTTTGGTTTATTTAAATTAAAAGTTAAGTGGTATATTTGTTTATATTACATGCATATATTATTTTATTATATCACTTTTTATTAAAAATCAAATCACAAACTGAGACTGGCATATTACGTGAATGCCTAAGCCATAAAACATAAAAAACCGTCAATTATGTTAATAATAATGATTATTAATTATTAAACAAAACAAAGTTTTCTTGATTATTGCATAAAATTAATTTTATAAATTACTGCTTTCTGTATCTGTATCTATAACGTGTGGAGGGTAGGTTATCTTACGGTACTTATGCCTCATTAGGCCCATTGTGCATCCTCCTGAGATGATAGGCATCTCCTAGCTCGTGAGCCAGCCTACAGATTTAATGTGCAATTACTAAAATTAAATAAAGGAATTGATAAATGATTATCTGCTGTATAGCATTTTGATACATTTATATTTAAGTCCTCTTGTGATAGAAGAAGAAGCGGTGGTGCTGAGGGAAATACTTTAACAAATTTTATTGGTATTTTTCCCCAAAAGCTTTTTAGCCGTTTCAAGTTTCTTTTTTCTTGATTTCAATTGTATATGTATGTTTGTTTGCCTACACCATAGATAACTGTTAATATAAATGTATAATAAGAGCAATGTACGTTGGGTTGCATATAATAAAATCGTTGATTAATAGAAAATCATTCATTAATAGGGGTCATTAATTAACGATTTTGAGTGCGTTTGATGTAAACTTTTAATAATAATGTATATATTGTCTTCTCGCAACTGGTCACATAATGAGGTTTTTTTTAACCAGTTTCATAATGTTCAACTTAATGCATCAGGTTGCGTAAAGTAGATCATTTTGACACTTGCGGCGATTACAAAAAATGTCACTCTATATGTCAAAATTAGAAGAAATTCATTGTTACCGGAAAACTAATAAAAATATATATTTTCTGTTTTAAAATTAATATATTGATAAGGGAAATCCCCAGATAACGAAATTTAAAATTATTATGTTAAAATTAAACTTAGCGAAGCTGGACGATTTAGAGTCTAGAAAAATATTATTGTGAAATTGTCAAGGAGGTTTTTGTTTGATTTTTGAAATGATAGATTGTCATTAGAATTTTTAAAATGTCAGATAAGAAATTTTGAAAGAAAAGTGTAAGTTTGGATTTTATATAAGGAGAAAGATTATTGATTTGAAATAAAGATATTTAGAGAATTGTCATGAGATTTTGGAAGAAACTGTAACAGGGAATGTAGATTGTCAGAAAATGTTGTAAAAGTTTGAAAAGATTGTTAAGATAATTTATGGATTAATTTATAAGATAAAGTTAAAAAGGTAAAGAAAAGTTTTTTAATTGAAACTAAGATACAAAATAGAGTAACAGTGGCAAGCAGATAGAAAAGAAACAGCAGGAGGTAGGAGACTAGGAGAGTATAAAAAAGAAGACCCGAGTTAAAATAAGAACCAACATCAAGAGCAGGAGCAGGAGGAGAGCAGCCAGGACAGAGAAATAAAAGATTTTTTTTAATTTCACTGATTTTCAATTATTTTTTTATTTTTTTTATACAAGATTAATTTTTCTAGATTTTGAACCCGCCTAGTTTGAGATTTGGTAGTATTTAGAATATTTTTTGAAAATCCATATACTGGGTGTTTTCATATCAAGTGGCCAATCGTGGGGCTATATAAACTTTATGGGGTGTAAAAAAAGGGAAAGAAGGCAGACAAAATTTGGAAGTACAAAGCCAAGGGAACGAAATTTGTGTAAAATTGATTTGGTATGACCTTTTATTTATATTTAAATTGTTGATTCTTTTATTTTGGGGTAAGAACAGTGTAAATGGTGTATGAGACAGTCTATAGTATTTGAAAATTGAAATGTTATTTAAATAAATTCAATCATTTAGGATAGAAAATTTTAAAATTGGGGTAAAATTACATTAGAGAGAACGCAAAAGTACACAAGATTTATATAGACAAATAAAAGTTTGGTTAGAATTGTTATATAAAAGTGTTTTTGAAAGTGTAAAAGTATATGGATTTGCGAGGAGGAAAGAAGCTTGAAACAATGGAAGACAATGCAGGAGACGAGGAAGAGAATTTACAACAGGTAGGACAAGGAGATTTAGATAATACAGGCATGGAATAAAAAAACGAAGAATCAGGGCAGCAACAAAAGGAAGATGGAGGTAAGAGAGAAGATGAGGGAGTTTTACGGAGCATGTTTGCGGTAATAATGGAAATAAAGAAAAACAATGAAACAATGTCTATGGAGATAAAGAAAAACTGTATGAAAATGAAAAAAAACAATAAAGTAATGTCTATGGAAATTAGGAAAAACAATGAAACAATGTCTATGGAAATATATAATAAATTGGATAATAAGGAAGAAAACAGAAAAGAAGATAAAGAAGAACTAATGAAGAAATTTAAAGAATTAAAAGTGAAAACAGATGTAAAATTTAAAGAAATGAAGAAAAATTTAAGATAAGAAATGATAGAAAGAATTGATGAAGTAGAAAATAAGCAAAATAAGAAATTTAAAATAGTACAAGAAAAAATATCTGCAGATATGGAAAAGATAGTATCGGAGGCAGAGTATCAGGGAAAAATGATATCAAATCTAGAAGAAATAGAAAATAAATTCTCTCAAGAGAAGAGGGATCAAAAATAAGATTAAAATGAAAAATAAGTGTCATTGAATAAAGTATTAATAACGTTAAGAATGAAATTAAAATATGTAAACAGGAAGTGAGGGAAAGTAGAAGTGAAGAAATATGGGAAAAAAAGTTACAGGAACTTAAGGAAAAAATAAAAGGAGTAAAAGAAGAACAAGAACAAGAATACAAGATATTGACGATGGAAATAGAAAATAATAAATCAGAAACCAAATGTATAAATGTATATGGAGAGGTAAAAATGGAACATAAATTTGAATGGAACATAAAAAAGATACATCCGAAAGTATTTTTAAAAATCTTAAGACATAATTTAAAAAAACATAAGGTTAATAGATGATATAAAGGAATGCATTAGAGAAACTCTGGACAATCAAGTATTAGTATGGTTTTGAAGTAAATAAATTGAAATGAATTGTTTTGAAGATTTTAAGAAATTATTTATTGAACATTATTGGGGAGAGTTTGCCTAGGTGAATGTGAGAGAAAAACTGTATTTAGGAAAGTTTGATGAAAAGAGAGAAAGTAGTTGTAGCAATTATGCTCTACAAGTATTTACGACTCAATATTTAGATCCATCTATGTTAGAAGGAGAAATAATAATGTACATTTCTAGACATTTCCAATCACAGTTGGTTAAAACTATAGCGTTCAAAACATGAGAACAATGAATGCATTAATTAATTATTTATTGAGGGTTAAGCAGAGTTTAGGAAAATTCTCAAGGAGTGGATTTGGATAGGATGGAAGAACAAGGAAATATAATAATTATGGAAATTATCAGTACAATGACTTGATAAATAAGCAAAATAGAAATAACAGTAGGTTTATGTCAAACAATACATATTATGTAAATCGCAATGAAAATAATAGAAATCATAAGACCAAATATAAGAAATATGCAAGGGGAAATGAAAGAAGAAAGGGGCAACTTAAATCAAAACGAAGATCGCAGACAAAATGAAAATCAAAGGCAGGTGGCAGAAGAAAAATCTACGAATGAATAATATACGAGTGACGGATGATGATGAAGCAGAACATATTTATGAAGAGAGCAATGAAGAAAATTTTATTAGAAGCACTTACTAGAATAAGAAAATAAAATTTGTATGCATGAACATCCAAAGGAATTTATAAATTTGGGGAAACATATAGATCAGGAAATGGAAGAATGGAGGTTAATTTATTTAAAGGGAAAAATGGGGGATAGGAATATCTAAATTTTAGTAGATACAGGGTCTGAAGCGTCGATTATAAATGAAAAATTAATAGAAAGGGAATATGACGTTGTAAAAATACCGAAAGTGATTTTAGTAGGTGCAAATGGAAAAAAATTGCATAATGTAAATAAATCTACTAAGAGAGATTGTATTGAATGACAATAAGAAAATAGAAGTGCAATTATTGGTGGTACCAAATTTAAATGTTAAATGTTTCTATGTTGTTAGTGTTGGTACGTTTAAGTGTTGTATTGTGTAAGTTGTAGGTATAGTTACAATAGTAATTGTATAAATTTAAAGGTTTGAAAAATAAAGAAATCAACAATTTAAATTGATAAAAGGTTTGAAAATTTAAAATTAATATATTTGAGATTGGGTGTTTATTGGTTATTTGGAAAATTTAAAGATAATTACATAAAAATTTTGTGTTTAAAATTATGTTTAAAAGTTATAATATGCAAACACTAAATTTGGGGGATTTAATAAAGAAAATTCCCAAATAACGAAATTTTATATTATGTACCTATTAATTATGTTATTTTTCATTCTATGAGTACAGCAAAAAACGCCCTTTCTTGAAAACTAAATAACTTTAACAAGCAATATAAATACTACAACAAGTTGTTGAAAATAAATTAATATGATTGTCTATTTTTTAATAAAATGAATGACACAAGAAAGTAATATTGGTTGTATAAACTTATTTTTTACCGAAACACAATTTTATAAATAATAGTCACAAGTATTAGAAGTAATTTTAAAAAACTGACTTCAAAATCGTGCAGATGCCATCATCAGATCTTGGCCAAATTTATAATAAAAAATAATCATTGAGAACGGACAAGGTAATAAGGAATGATCGCCTAACATACATAAAAAATAAAGAGTTTGAGGATATTCTCATGAATCCAATAATTTGATTTGGACCAAATTTATATGGGACCGCCATAAACAAAAAAATAATCATTAAAATCGAATAATGTGTTAAAGAATTACAGCTGAATTACCATTCCGAAGAATTGAGAACCTCCTCCTTTTTTGAAGTCGGTTAAAAATTAGAAAAATGTTATATGTAACACCTTACGAAGCTACCTTTAAACATCATTTAGTCTAAACTCACCTGTCAGCTGCTGCTACATCATACAATTGATCTAAATAGTAGCCATCTTGAATATTGTCATCATTCGAAACTTTTGGTATCCATAATAAAAAGAAAATAAATGCTGATACAGAAAAATTTCTGTTGAATAATTGACGTAAGATAAGCTCCATGTTTATTGCTGAAATACAAAATAATATTTTAAATCTAAATTAATTTATTTAAAAAATTGTATATTATGCTGCGTCTTAACAAACTTCTACGCCAGCCCTGTTCAATTTTGTTAGCAGAACGAGAGATTTTGGAGTAAAAAGTGTTTTAATGAAGTTATTGTTTCGCGTTTTTTTAATTTGTCCTTTGTAATAAAAATGTACTTCTACTTTTAGATTCTTATTAATTCTAACTTTGAATGTAGACCTTAGAAAATTAATTAATGTACTTCAATGAAAGCAATCAAATGCCACTATAAACTGCATAATTCAATTTCTTATTAATATTTTACATTTTTTTAATAAAATACTCACATTTTAAAATTAAGTATCCTAAAAAAACACTAATCTAGTTTAAGGCATTACTAGAACAAAAATGTGTTGGTTTTGTTACTAAGATCTTAGAACTACAACTTGGCGATGCCTTCAATTAATAGGCATCATTGAAATTAATTGTAAACGTCACACAACAAAAATTAGATGGAAGATACATTGTATGCTTGTTTCATCAATCATCACAAATGCAGAAGCCGTTCTATAAGGTATACGAGGGGCAAACAAAGAACATATTGAAATTACATGATATAAAAGAAAAAAAATTAGTTTCTGTGAAACTTGTGTTTTCTAGAAGAAGAAAAAACTTAAAAATAGATATTATAGATTAAAACATTACATTTCATTTAATATCACTTAAAAGTCGGCTATTAGAAAACTTAAAATTTTTTTTATAGAAGTTACCGGTTCTTTTGTTAATTTTAATTGGTATATCAATATCAAATTCCATTGTGTTGCATCCGATTTAACAAATACAATGTTTATAATTTTCTTAACAGGCGTTAAGTCAGCAAAACACTTATCGGTTTTGTCGTAATCACTATTTATTGAGCTTCTGGTAGTAACTTAATCTTTAGGTAATACCAATAAAGATGTTCGAAATAGTTTAAACATACATGGTGTAAAATTATAGTAAATAATCCTTGAAATATTAAAAAAATTTGAGAAAATTTACAAATATTGTCGCAATAATGGAAAAACATTCAGGGAGCTCAATATTTGTAAAACATTGGAAAATACTTTGATAATAAAATAATTATTAATAATAATAAGCGAACTTGAAGGGGTCACGAGTAACACCAGTGGCCCATACCGGGCCTTAAATCGAACCGGTAGCCCATGCAATACCGTAACTCGTCGAAGTGCCTTGGGGTAATATCCCAGGGTGCTGGGATCTCGCATTATGCCCGGTAATGACCCCGGCAATGGAAATGGACGCTTTCGATGGACGAATGAACTCAGGGACGATTTGCTGAACGCATACGAAGATAGCGAGCCTGGTCGAAGAGGTTACATGGCAAGAATGCATGGATTGGGGTACGAGAGACACCCAGAGCTTAATCACATCTCTAAACAACATCTTAGAGACCATATAGCTTATCTTTGCAATGTAAGAATACCACACAATGATACAAAAGTACCGGCTGCACTGGTCCAAGACCAGATTCAATCGGTTCAAGAGCTGGCTCAAACCCAGCACGTTTACCCCGAGAACATCAACAATGGACCACCACTAATACAAACAAGAATTAATATTAAGTGTAATATCAAACCGCAGGATATCATCAAACATGGCTGCAGCTCTCCCTGGAGAACTTTCAGAAATACCAGACATTATAACCCTTAACAATGCCGTCTATCGTGCCGCTAATTAGCTAGTGGCAAATGCTAAAGGTAACAGCTATGCAGATAGAATACAAAAACGGAACGCCAAATACACAGAATCACCAATAAAATACTTCTGGCACGGCAACAGGCTTCTCGTATACAGTGTGTGGTCGAGTATATTACATCCAAGCGGCCTTTTACTGAAAAAAAAATTAAAAAATAACGAGACAACTTCATCAAGAACACCACACTCTGAATAAGGCAAGGCTACTTACAATCAAGCAGCGCTACCTAGTTCGTATACGCTCTTTAGGGGTCATAAAGAAGAGCCTAATCAAGAAAGCTAGAAGAATTAAGGATAACAACACCTTGCACACTAAACACTCTAGACTACTTGATGACCCACAACCTGTGATTTAAAATTCGCCGTCAGCTACTAAAGTAGAAAATTTTTGGAAGAACATCTACGAAAGCACGACACGCATCAAGAAGAACACATCATCACTAATCAGGTTCACATCCTATTGTACCCGATTTCAACAATACCACCTTGACGATAATCCCCAAATAAGTCAGGAAGAGATTAAAAAGGCACTTGAAGGTAATAGAAATTTTTCAGCGCCAGGCCTCGATAACATTAACAATTTTTGGTGGAAGAAATTTCCAAGTACCCATCCGCACCTAGCTGAGCCAAAGAATTACAGGCCGATCACCTGTCTCAATTCCTGTTATAAGATCTTTACCCGTATCTTGTATTATAGGCTCTTGAGCTCAGTGGAACGGGTTCTGAATGACGTGGTAGAAGAGCAAGGCGAAAGGAAGGGATCCCAGGGATGTAAAGAGAACTTACTAATAGACAGGTGCATCACAAAAGACTCAATCCAGTACAAGCGAAACCTGTCAATGGCTTGGATTGATTACAAAAAAGTATTCGACACATCACATGAACTACTATTACATCTGCTACGAATTCTTTCTGTGCCCATGCCTTTGGTAAGATGCATTGAACAACTTATGCAGCTCTGGAAATCAAAATTTTTCATAACAACTGGAAACTCGAAAGTAATAACAGAGCCAGTAACATTTAAGAGAGGAGTTTTTCAGGGCGATTCACTGAGTCCCCTGCTATTCTGTATTTCTCTACTCCCAATTTCGGTAGCTCTGGGAATCGCACACACAAGGTGACACATCTGTTTTACATGGACGACCTTAAGGTCTATGCTATGAGCGACCGAGATTAACAACAATCTCTGAAGGTGGTGCAAGAATATACACGGAATATTCGTATGGAATTTGGATTGGACCAATGCGCCGTTCTGAGACTTCAGAAAAACCGTTGCGTAGACCAGCCTGTGAATGAGCAACGAACTGACGGAAGCATACTTCGTCACTTAGAAGATGACGAAACTTACAAGTATCTTGGTGTTGATCAACACCGAATGCATGACACTAACAACATCAAAAAACGCTCCGTAGTAAGTATAGGCAGCGTCTCCGAAAAATATGGGAATCCCAGCTTTCCGGAATCAACAAAGTTGCTGCCACTAATATGCTTGCTGTTCCTGTGCTCTTGTATTCATTTGGCGTGCTCAAGTGGAGACGAGAGGAACTACGGGAACTGGATGTAAGCACACGCAAGATGATGCATATGAACAAAAGCATCCACCCACGCTTATTGGTTTCGCGAATTTACCTTGCACGTCATTAAGGGGGCAGAAGTCTGGAGAGGTTGCATGATAGATTAACTGTGAGCCTGGCTTGCAAGGTAGTCAATAGTGCGGACCCACTACTGAAGCTGGTTCGATACCATGAACTAGGTCTCAGATTTGAAATAGATGACAACCAATCTCTAACAAGATTGGAACCCGCTTAAGTAAAACGTCTAGTTAGGGCAGCAGAACAACAGCTGCTCTTGCAAGATTACGTCAGTAAACCCCAACACGGTGTTTTTTACAGGAACATAGATCTTAATCTATCTCGGGAAACAACTTTCTCCTTTCTTCGATCAGCTAACCTGAAATCTGAGACAGAGGGATTCTTGGTAGCTTGTCAGGATGGCGTAATTAATACTCTCGTATACATTGCTTAATTTCCGCATGTGGCGGATGTCAGATGCAGAACATGCCAACAATACCTGGAGACATTAATGCATCTTTTTTCCGCTTGCCCGGTGCAAGCTGTGTCTGGGACAGGAAAAACGCCGCATTGCGAGTTCTCTACTATCATCTGAGACATCACTACGGTATAAATGAGACACCAGTTCTGCCATACTCCTCAGACGAAATTGAAGCGGTAGTGGAAAATAACAGTTGTCGTATTTATTGGAATTACGCTTTTCCCACAACAACTAGACTCCAAGCTAACAAGCCCGATTTGGTGCTGTTGGACAAGCAGAGTCATTCAATTTTTGTCATTGAGTTTTCTGCATCAGCTGAAACCAACATTCTTATTAAGGAGAGGAAAAAGCGTGCCAAATACATTCCACTGATTGGCGAGTTGCAAAAAATATATTCAGAATATAGTGTAAGAATGGTAGTCCTAATTGTGGGTGTTTTGGGGGAAATCAAGGACACTATGCTCAAGGAGCTACAAAAAATACCGACTTGACAAGACTCATCAAAACAACTAGTGGTGAAGATGCAGAAAGCGGTAGTCCTTAGGTCCCTTCATCTTTTGAGGCAAATGAATTTGGCCAAAGATCACTGACCGAACGGATGTAAGGAGTGATTTTCTCAGCCACCAGGCCTTTCGCGTAATGTACTGGGTGTGTCGGAGCCCCAGGATGATTGCGACGAATTTTTTACACATAATAATAATAATAATATTAATAATAATATAAATAATCACTTTTATTGAAAATTAAGTCTGGAACTTTTTTCCTCTGCTTTCTCTGAGGGATTCCAGCAGGCTTCTTCCAATCAAACTTGGGTCCACTGACTTCCTTTGAGCAAGATTGGATTCCAGCCTGCCTTTCCCTCCTCTGGGGTTCGCATGGCGGCACTGTAGCCTCACTGGCATATTATACTACCATTTGGATACCCTACTCTTTTCCATTCATATAACTCATGCATTTTACCTATGCGGTCTAAATTGTCCCCGAGCTCTGCGAGTTCGGTCAGCTATTCATATTGTGACTGGAACATTACTGCTGCGCTTGTAATTGATGTTTTAAATACCATTCGTAGCGGCCAGCAAACTTGCGCATATTATATTATAGACTGTTGTCTCATTGATTGTGATGGCATCGTGGAAACCCATTGAGTAACTTATGGGTTTCACCTCAACAAATAAGACGTTCATGTCAGTCTTTACAGGTTTGTAATTGAATTTTGTAAATAACAGCAACATGTAACTTATTCCATTCGTTTTAGGCCGGAAGATGGCCTTAGTACCGAAACTGGTTGCCATGTATTGTAAAAATAATATTTCTGGTTAGGAATCTTCACAAACTTTATTGGATGTTCTAATGACTTTTTAACAATTTCCTTTAAACAAGAGCCAAAAAAGTACAGATAAATTGAATTTGAGCATTCAGCGAGCATACGAAACCAGATTTATATTTTTTAAATTTCCAAGTTCTCGAAGTTGTTTAATAGGAATTTATTGGAAGTCGTATGCAAAATTTCAAAATCTGTAGTACTAGAATCGAAGTCGTCTAGATACTGGATCTAACAGGTATGAAGCGAAATGGAAGAAGCCCGTGGTATTACTATTGAGGCAACATGTGTGCTCCATCAGACCAACTCTAAAGTTACGAAAAGTTTTACTGACATAATAAAAATGGGCA